TATTATTAATGACTACATATAAGGCACTGGGCACCGCACAGCGGCCACTCGAGCCAGCGCACAATGCGGCGTATGCGCAATATACATGCAGATACAAATATATATATACATATATATGTAAGCTTTTATATATTTTATTGCCAACGACCGGAGCAGCCAAAACGAAGAAAAATATAAACATTCAGCCAGGCTCAATTGTTGTTGGCGTCACATTTGTAAAAATGCGCATCTTGCCTTATGGCTTAGGCTGTGGCGGGGCGTGGGCGGAGTGCGGAGGTCTAAGAGCGGAGGCTTGGGGGTTACGGGCTTTTGGGTTTTAGTCCCCGCCATTCGCATTCCCCTTTGAGCGCTTATTGTAAAGCGCCTTAATAAGATTTTATTGCGCCGAGTCACGGGTCGCGCCAGCCGAGAGGAGGCTGTGCCAAGTCGTTCGTACGTGTCTGTGTACAACTGACGCAGATAATAAGTTCCATTCATGGCATAGAGAACGTGGGAGAGAGCGAAAGAGTGGGAGAGAGAGAGAGAGAGAGAGAGAGAGAGAGCGAGAGGTAGAGCGATCCCCTCACTTGCCGTTGTTTGGTTTCTTTCCCATTCAGTTAGTCCGCCCTGGCCATCAGGCTCTCCTCTACCCCCTGCAAAGCCAAAAGGATAATGACTGACCATTTAGAGCAGCCTACCCCAATTCGGGGGCACAGACGAGGCACAGTGGAGGCACTGAATTGGCTATTTGGGATTCGTTTTCGTTTTCATCTGTGGTTATGTTTGCGGCTATTAGTGTCAAGTAATTAATAAGCGTCGGGTCAGGCGTGAAAGCATTTCAAATGCTTCAACAACTTTTTTTGCTCTTTGCTTTTCCTTTTTTTATCTGCAGCTAAAACTTTAATTACGCTGGATTACTAGAATAAATGTTTATGGCTGTTGCCATCGACCGAAAACATACGAAACTCGTAGCCTTTAAGCTCTGCGCATCAGGGACATATATAGTATTCCGGGTCGCCCTTCAAAATATTGACAACATAAAATATCATGATAAAAATGTATGAAACAAGAAGGGAAAGGGAAGGAATATAAATACAAATATCCACTATACGCAATGTCATGAATTCTTTATGGTGGCATTTTTCAAATATTATTGCAGAAAGTTTTCCTTTTTGCTCTTACTTTTTTTTCCTTTTTTTTGGGAGAATAGGAAACGTGCGTTCGCCGTTTATAAGCTGGTATATATGTGTATATATACATATATTTGTACATATGTATGTGTGTATGTATGTATTAGCTATAAATCGAGTTTGCCTCGATGCTGGCAATACGCAACTGACGCAGTCAGTAGCCTTTAAGCTACTTAGCCATATTTCAATAGGAACAAGAAGCAATATTGCAGACGGGTGTATACGACTGCCCCCTGCTCGTTCAGAGTATAAAAAAAAGAGTTGAATTATTTATATTCAAATTTTCAGGGAGAGAGAGAGAGAGTCATTTAATTCTCGACTGTTTTAGTAAAAGCTTTAACATTTTACCAGATATAGTGGAATGACCTGACAGAATGGAAAGACGGATGGATAGACAGACGGAGGGACAGTGAAGCAGGCAAATAGACAGAGAGATAAACATATGAAGAGGCAGACGAGCAGAGAGATAAACAGATGAAGAGGCAGACGGACAGAAAGTCAGACGGACAGGGAGACAAATGAACAAAGAGACAGACGGACAGACAAATAAATAATCGGACAGAGAAACAGACGGAGAGAGAGACAAACAGATGAAGAGACAGACGTAAGACACAGATGAAAGAGCAAATAACCTGACGTATGGACAGCCTGTCTACCCAGCAAGACGAAAATTCCACAAAAACTAATATACTCCTCTTCACTTCGTGAACGAGTATGAAAACTATTCTCCCACAGCGAACGACTAACGAATACAAACGAATGCCCATTGAGAACTTTGTGCAGATAACAAAAGCAACAAAGCGAGCGGCAAGTGGAAGAGCTTAATAATAGCTGTAAATCAATCATATGTGAAAACGAAAATTGTTTTTGCAAATTCAAGAATAAATCAAAACACAAAAAAGAAATTCGCCAGCTTGAAAATATAGACACACATGCTCATACATATTTATCAGCTATATATAACTTGGTTGTCATATGTGAGAGTCCTAACCGATTTACGGTAAAAAAATTGAGTTGTGAGTTTATTAAAAACATTTGCGTGTTTTACATTCGAGGGAGGGGCGGGGCGGGGCAGAGCTTTGAAATACTTTTTGACACGGTCTCGGCATAAAAGTATGTACTTAAAATTAATGTACAGCCTGTTACCGTAAAGCATAAAAGCTTTGCGGATATAGTTTTTCATAAATCTGTGCGGGATTTCCGTGCATTTGCGTCGGTTTTTCCATTTTTTTTTTTGTTTCCTTTTTTTTTTGTGCGCATAAAAACCACAATGTGAGCTTTTAGTCGTGTGGTGCCTCGACTCACCAAATTAATAAAAAAATATACAAAAAGAGGAAAAACAAAAAGACAAGCGTTACTAAAAGGCAAAACTTTGCGACACAACAGTGTTTCTGTTTGACATTGTCTGTCGCGAAAAATGTGATCATAAATGCCCCGACTGTGCCTGCTCCTGCTCCTGCTCCAGCTCCTGCTCCTGCTGCTGGGCCACTGCACTTAAGATGTCACACAAATGCAGCCACAGGGGGGTGAGAGAGAAAGAGGGAGAGAGAGAGGCCAAGTCCCTGTGGCTCATGTGCCACACTCAACCTGTGCGAGCTGCCTTCCACTAGTTTTACTAGCCAATAACTTGGCTCGTTGCGGCAGTTTTACTTTTATAGCAGCCACCGATTAGTTTCTGGCCAACGACACTTTATGGCCAACATCGAAGATGCTGCCAGCCGAGTGCAGCCATAAAGAATGCAAACGCATGGCCAAGGATGCCCCCGTGCGTATAAAGAGGAGTCTCTCTCTCTCTCTCTCTCTCTCTCTCTCTCTCTCTCTCTCACTAAGAAACTTGATCTTTAAGATGAGCACTTGAACAGCAGTTGGCCTGGTCAAAACATTGATCTAAACTCGGTCAACAAGTGAATGATGTGTGCCAGCCATATCAAATGTGGAGCAAGTGTGGGTGTGCGTGTGGGTGGGTGGTGCTGCGCCACATTCGTCGCTTACATAAATCTAAAGTGTGCGGCTAAAAAGGCAGAGTCGAGTTGAGTCACTTAGCCACTCTCCATGCTGCTTCACTGTGCCACATACGCAGCTCGCCGAACGAGTTCTTTGACTTTGACTAATCCTTTTGCCAACACCCACCACCCACCACCCAACACCCAACATCCAACACTGACTACACATTTATTTTGCATGCTGATTTCGTGTTTGACTGGCTTAATGCCTAGCCTTTGAGCTGCGACGACTTTGTTGTGGCACCGCTGTAACCGCATTGTGAAAAAACTCACAAGTAGCAGAAAACCACACAACAACAAACACACACACACTCACACACACACACACACACATGTGAACGAGCTCATTAGCAGTGCCCACACAGCTGGAGACGATTTGATTTGGCTTTTACTTACATTTTGGCAAAAAAAAAAACATATGTATTTGTATATATACATATATTAGGCAGCCCCAAATGACTAAATGCTATTCATTTCACATATAATACAAGAGGTAACCATGGCAAACGAATGAAATGAATGACTGAGCGATAGCGCTCGATGACAGCAGGAGACAGCTCGACATCAGTAAATTTTTAATTAGAAAATATATGCTTCTTAAATGAAATTTAATTACTTCTCTTTGAGATTTCCGTCTGGACTTGAGTTTGATAGGAATTTGCTAGAATCAGTGCTCATCTCTTTATTAGCATTTACAAAGGAAACATTGAGACAATTGAGGCTCATTCTGGAAAATTACTTTTAAAGCTTTATCTTATCTTATGTCAAAATTTGGCTAAGTGAACCTTTTTGCAGAAGGTTTAAGATCCTGCAGAGTATGGTTAAGCAAACTCTAGGCTGAATCTCTTACTCTGAATAATTCCTCCTCCTCCATAATGAAAGCATTCTGAAAATCCTAAGACTCATTCTGATATATTACAGTTCGAGCCTCTGATTTGCCATTTCTATTATCAAAAATCAAAGTCCCTAAGCTGCCATACAAACTCTTCGCAGAAGGAAGCACTAACTTCTAGCATATTATTAACAGATACTGCACAGAGCCCTCTTCATTCAACCCTAGTTCCGTATGAGTTTTACTTAAGGCATTTCTCTTCAACTGTATAGTAACAAAAAGCCAAAGTCTGAGCCCTATCAAATTTGCCTTCAAGTACCCCCAAGAAATGGGTGTACCAAAGTTTAGACACAACTCTTGAGCCTGAGTGATCCTATGTGTTTGAACGAACTCTTAGCAGAAGTTTTTCTTCGGTAGCATCCTGTTGAATATGGCTCAAACAGGACTTGACAGAAGTCCTAGCAAAGGGCGATTAAATCGATTAGGCAAAAGGAAGCTGCACATAGAGCTCTTCTGAGAGAACTCAACTTGGACAACCCTCTACAAAGCGCCTTAACACGCGAGTGCACACAATTAATTTCCTAAATTTCTCCAACCAAACTCTATTACCATTCAACATTTCCCTTTAATCTACAATCCTGCTCATGCTACAGAGTATTTCGCACGCCGTCAAACTTATTTTCTCCTTGGAAAGTTCAAGGTTTATGTGAGTAGTTGCGACATACAGTTACAGAAATTGTAAAAAAATACGTGACGTCAAATACATATATATATAAATACTACGTATAAAATGACTCGGAAATAGTCTCACGTATTTCTGTTGTAATAGTGACGATTGCCATAAAAATACGCTGAACTGTATTTGTGTGGCGCTGACTCCATCCTTTCGCTGCCTCTGCTCTCTCAGCTTATTCTATTTTTGGCAACCAGCGCGAATGCCGTGACTTAAATACGAAATGTGCTCATTGGCGGGATGAATTCAATTCTCCGACTTACCTCAGCTCATTGCTGGAGATGTGTGAGGAGCTGCAAGAGAGAAGAAATAATAAATTAGTTTAAGCCACAATTAGAAAAGAGAACCAACCAAAACTAGCCCTAGTCAGAGTCATATTTCAGAGCAGCTCACTAAAATTCAAATTTGTCTGGCTACAGTTTAGCGCGGCGCGCCGCCTGGCAAATCCAATCAAATGTGAACGGGCTGCGCTTTTTCATAGCCTAGCCCCAGGCGCTGTCTCAACTCCCATAACTCTGGGCTGGCGGCGCACAGCTGGCGCACCGAGCGGCAGAAGAAAAGATTTAACTTGTCTCGTGCTCAGCGTAAACAGAATTATTTCCAGCTGCCTTGTGCTTGCTTTGTGCAGCATTTAATTGGGTTTGCCAGCATATTAGATTTTCATTTTCATCTTTGCCGCTGCGTCCCCCCACCACTCGCATTCGCATAAATTTGAATACAAACGCACGCACACAAATGCAGAGAGTCTCTAGAGTGCAGAATTTAAAGCATACGCAGCTGCTGTATTGTTCTATGTCCTATTGAAATTTAAGATACATACAAGTGCAGCCTCTTAGCTTCTCCGTGCTCCACACAGAGTGAGATGAATCTGTGTGCAACATGCAGATTTTTATGCAACTCCCAAAGTCAGATGTGAAATTCAAGAGCTTTTCCAACTATAAACAAAAGACTGCAAGGCATGCAAACAGCAAAAGAAAAAGTGAAGAGGCGGAGCAAGAAGAGAAAAAACAAATACCGAACAAATTCTCCGAATGCAAATCTTATGACCCATGCGAAATGAAAGAGAATCCAAAGTGAGTAACAAATTCAATTGAATGACTGTTGAATACTCTAGATGTGACTAGACTGACTCAGAGAGCTAATTAACTTAATTTAATCAATAATTATAGCTCTTAAATTTGACTTGATCAATCTCAATTACACTGTGAAAAGACAAACACTGTTGCACAGGCTAGAGCTGTTAAAACCGTCGATGGCACTGTATCGATAGTATCGATGAACATTCATTTTTGCAATAGATCGATAGATTGCGTGCTAGCGGCAAGCTCAGCGAATAACTGAAATATCGCCTGCCAATGAACTAACTATGTTATTGTGTGAGAAAGTAATTTTATACTGTTTCTATTGTATGAATGTATGTATGTATTTAGCGTATAGTTTATTTTCAAATATAAGGTAATTCTAAAGCAGTATTATAAGTTTTTTCTAATATAACTCTAATTTAATATAAAATGCTTGTTAGGCCACAGCAGACAAGTTAACAGTAGAGCTGTTAAGTCGATGTGTTGATGGCTACAAATATCGTTAAGTTTGCTCCTAACGATATTTTAAACCTTGTGCAGCGGCATCGCAGGGTATGTACGGCAAAGCCAAACTCCATTGCTTCATTGATCTGTTTTCTTATGCATATTCTGTTACCTGTATTCACACTCACACACACAGTCACACTCACTCATCCACCTATGCACATTCGTGTGGCATGGAGCACGTAGCTGAGATTTTTCCTGCATTCAGCATTCAGGCAAAAGGAAAAACTTCATCATCGCAGCGCTCTCCGCTGGGATGCTTGCTGTCAGTGCGGCTGTCAAGTTGCTCTGTGCAATTGTCATGCTCTGCCTGGCCAGGTTTCTTCTTTTTTTGGGCATCCTTTTGCTCTGCTAACTGTCAGCGGTTGTAACTCTGCTTGTGAGCATCCGTTGGCGAATTTAATAAGTTGCCCGCATCATCATTATCATTATCACCATCAGCATTACGTTTACCGTTTACCGTTTACGGGTTTACGGTTTGCCGTACGCATTTGCCAGCTAGCTACCGTTCTAGTCGTCAGCACCAGCAGAAGCAGCATCTTCTTCTTCTACTCCAGCTGCTGCTCATTTTGTCATCCAGGCATCCTGCTCGTTTTTCGTGTGCGCCGCTTTTGTAAGTGGGTTATTTAGCGTAAGTAATTCAATAAGTCTGTTAGTTTTCATATTTCCTGCCGTCTGCAGTTTCAGCTGCAACTGCGTGTAATCCACGGCCATTCGAGTCCAGAGAGTGCCAAAAAAATAAAAGAAAAAGGAGACCTTCTGGTGCGGCACACGAACTAAGAGATGATACGGCAAACTGAATTAGCGCTCTACGAATGTGTCCTTCCTCTCCAAGGATCTCAACTAGTTATAGGATAGATGGCTAACTGCCTGGGCTGTCTTGGCTGCCTTGGCTGCCTTACTGCCTGGCTGGCATGAGAATGTCTACAGCTTTAATTCATTGCAAGGAATTTTAATTCATTTTGCAGAACTTACGCTGAGCAGATTACCAAAGTTAAAGTTAATGCAGCACGCGAGCAGCGAACGGCGAACGGCGCAGAGCAAAGTGTTTCTAATGCTCAATTAACTAAGTGCAGCTGCTCCTCCAGCTTTCAGCTCGAGTAATTTCCTCCTTCAGCCATGAGTATGAATTACTCCTCTTTTTTTTTTTTTTTTTTTTTTTTGCTATTACCTTCTGCATTGACTGCGGTCGCATCTTCTTCGTCCTGCTGACGTTTTATCATCAGCATTTCTTCTTTCCATTTGACATTTATCAACGTTTTTCTTAGCTCGTCCAGCTCGTCGTCTGTCTGTCTGTCTGTCTGTCCGACTGTCGGATTTAATTGCATCGTAACTGCAAATTTGCTGAGCTATGTAGATACAGATGCAGCTTCCAGCAGTAGCCAGATGCTGACGAATTGGGAGTTACAGATGTCAATTTACGAATTACAAACACAGCGATTGCTGACTGACTGATTGACTGACTGACTGACTAATGGACTGAGTAATTTACTTATTAAATCACTTGCTTATCTTTTGTGGTCCAAGTGTAGACCACAAATGTGGTTTGTGATATAAATGGAACTATTATAAAATATAGAATGACTTAATAATAATAATAATATA